ACATAATGATGACTGGCAGATAATTAATTATTAGTGGTACTGCATTTTAATTTTAGAAAGCACAAACCCGCTTATGAATGATAAAAATTAGTAAAATTGCTAAAGCGTAAACAAAATATTTAGGTCTGCAATTAGCAGATTTGTGCTTTAGCGGGCTGGTGCCCACCACTGCTAAACTCAATTCCCACCTTGGTCCTCAACCCAACCCCCAACCAGAAATTAGCATCTGTACCTGTGGGGAATGGGCACTGGTCTCCACGAGGCCGCCTTTTTCTGGAAAATGGTTTCCATAATGTAGTAAAAATGTGCCCACACACAAAAATTTACACAAAAACGTATGCTCACACACACAGAATTGCTTTATAGAAAATGTTCGTATAGTTACAGTGTCTCATGTTGTGTTTCAGCTTCAACCAGCACAGCAGCTTCCAAATCCAACTCCACAAGCACAATCCAAGATGGCGTTCCTCACTATGCAGAAGCAGAGATTGTCAACTTGCAGGGTGTCACTGGAAGCAACACATATGCCATCCCTGCTGCAACTATGGATCTGTTTTCTGGGACTGACGTTGCTGTTGAGGAGTTCCCACGAAAACTGCTCATATTTAAAGAGAAGCTGGGAGAGGGCCAGTTTGGAGAGGTGTGCCCTTCTCTGCTTCTGTTTCAGTTTTAGATCAAATAAAAACAAAAACAGTTGGAACTCAAACTTTCCTCTACGATTCAGGTGCATCTTTGTGAAGCAGAGGGAATGCAGGAGTTTAAAAATATTGAGTCTTTGTTTGACGTCCMTGAGGACAAACCAGTGTTGGTGGCTGTGAAGATGCTCCGTTCAGATGCCAACAAGAATGCAAGGTGAGTGATCAGAGCTGAAAACAAGCATTAAAGACAAAAAAGAAAAAGAGAAAATCTGTCAGTTAACATGTAAGCTTTTATATAATTTGTTTGTTTTTGTTGTTCTTTTGGGTGCAGAAATGACTTCCTTAAAGAGATAAAGATAATGTCACGTTTAAGGGACCCCAACATCATTCGTCTTCTAGCTGTGTGCATCTATAGCAACCCTCTCTGTATGATCACAGAGTACATGGAAAATGGAGATCTCAACCAGTTCCTGTCTCGTCATGAACCAGAGGGAAAACTTGCTCTGCTCAGCAACACACCTACTGTCAGGTCAGTGTTGAAATAATTACTGAAGATCTGTTTGTTTGTCTGTTATTAAAATATTTCATGAACAACTGAACAGATTTAAAACTTTCAAACTCAGTAAGCAATAATCAGATTTGTATTTAAAACTGATTTCTGAAGTCCCCGGTTTAAGATGGCTGCCACTTTCAATCAGTCGCATCAACACAACAGTGTCTCTCACTCAGTCAGTTTCACACAGGCCAAGCTAAAGTTATGGTAGGTGTGGTAGTAGCTGACAAATACAGATTCTTAACACCTATTCTGAGCTCTAACAAGTTGCGCAAGAATTTGACATTTCTGTGGGCTGCCGTTTGTAAAGTTACACAGTCAAAAATTACCACCAATATTTTTGTTTTATTTA